AATACACGGCTAATATATTTTTACATGGAAGTATTAACGTAAATCAGGACAATATAAAATGATCTACCCAAAGAATAATAATTTCTCTACTCTTATCATAGAAAATAAAAACGCTAAAGTTTCGTATAAGAGAAAAACAAAGTAAGAAAGGTTAAATAAAAATTTTCAATGCAAGTATTTAAAGAAAGAAAAAACAATACATATAGTTTTCGTGACAAACGGTTGAACGGAAAAGAATCCAGGAAAGAAAACATTCTGAAGGTATGGAAAATCGAATGGCCTGCTGTTAACTTCATTTGACGGACGATGGAACGAAAGGGTTGGCCGAGCGGAAAAGGGAGGAACGGGCATAAAAGTGCATCCAGGAGGATCGCGAGAAATAAAAGCATCCAATTTCCTGGGGATACCTCACCGGATTTAGCCAGAGTCGGCCATATTCTTTCCCCTTTTTCCGTGGTTGAGAAAACGTTCGCGCTTTTATCGGCGGACGCGCGATGCCAAATCCTGCAACCAAAGTGAAATGTAACGAGCCACGCGGTTCTACGCGCCATCGCATCGCGAACGAAAGATGGAGAAACGAACAACTTCCGCTTTTCTGATCTCGAACCAAGCGTTTCAATTATTTATGTCATTCCTCTGCCAACGATCGCGATACGCCCTTCTCGTTCTCCACTTTTTTCACGCCCTGACGTCCATTTCCTGTCGCATTCACTTTTTATCTTCCTATTCTTACGTTCTTACGTTGGACAGCGGCAATCTTGATTCTCCAAATGTGCCGTCTACTCGTATCATTCGCTGTTATTTGATTTTTCATGTGAAATTTTTATGGAACAGATTTAAGGACGTGTTATGACCGAGATAGGAACGTGACAAATGTTCTCTTCTTTTTCACATTCTTGCTGCATAATACTTTTTCGAGAAAAATTAATTTCCAGTGCAAATTCGTGTTGATTAAAATTCAGGTTTTTAGATTCTCAAGTTCTTTCGAATTTTAAAATAAATCTTGAAATTCTTCAATTACCAAATTCTGTGAACTTTGAACCTTTAATACTATGTTTACTCAATGATCCTATTTCTTAAATTTCTCAAGTTTCTCAATTTTGTTCAATTACCCCCGAATAAAAAAATTCTTAAAAATGATCGCAAAAATCCGAGATAAAATATAATCGAAAATTTGAAGTTGGAAAAATGGTAAATGACGTGTTCCCCGAATCCTCGAATTTTCATTCCGGCAGAAAATGAAAAGCGGTGCCATTCGCGACCTAGTGGCGATAAAGCATTCGGAAAGTGTCCCTCTGCGAAATGACACGTGAAACGCGCAATTAACGGCCAATTAATCGAACATGCGATCGTCCAGCGTGCAATTACGTTGCTCGATGCAGCGTATAAAACATGCTTATTTACATCCTTTCATTTCGCGACCACGTTCGCATTTATAATGAACTGGGTCGAATCGATAACGGTAAGTTATCGAAGAAGTACAGAAGAATCTTTCGAATAAACAGCATTATCGCATTTGGTAAACAGGTCCGAGACGCGCGAATTAATCATTTCGCCGGCTATATTTTTGTCGAACCGTGCTTACACGGATGTTTGTTCCGCTTTTTTCGATGGAGTGTTCGAAATTTGCATTCGTCACCGCGATACTTTAAATCATCCCGAAAAAACGCACGGTCGACGAGCACGATACAAATGTCAACACGATACTTCACGCTAATTGATTACCGTGCCGATAATTTTGGAATCCGCTCGAACGAAAGTTGAACGAAAATGATCAATCACACTGAATAATTCACTCCTTTTTTCCTGATAGAGGAAGAAAATTGTTATAAATCTGGATTGCCGTATAATTTCTCTTCTTTATTTAATCCGCTGTGATCGAGTCGAAATTTAACCATCGCTGGTTTTAGCGCCGGAATTTGTAGTCTAATAAAACTCGAAAGAAATCGATTCCGTCGTTAATCTCTTTTATTGCGGATATCAGCTTTTTTCTGCGATACGTGTTCTTCTGAACAATTTGAAGATATGACGAGACAAATGGGAACGTACAAAAAATATCCATGAATGTATCTAATAAAAGTCTTTAAAAAAATCGTCATGTAAATGTTTTACATCGAATGAATTATAAAAAAGAATAAAAATATAAGTGAAATGAAAGGTTAATAAAAGATGAAATTGTGAAACGTTTCGTCGATATAACTCTCTTCCGACCAGTCGAAAAATCGTGCGATAGATACGGAACCAAAACGAAACAAGAAAAAACAATTTTTCCGTGGGTTCCGATAAAAGTCACGTATCGTGCGATATCCGTAGGTCGTAACTCCGCTGAAAACTTTTATCCAATCGGATTACTCGATATACGTGGATCCCGAAGAGTCCGATAAGGATACCGGTTGCGTGTCCGCGTCTCGAAGTCACGAGCCATCGATACCGGACAGCAATTAATTCAACACCGTACGTCCGGTACAATGGTGGACCATGGAGCCACGTATCCGACCCATGATGCTGACAATGGAACGTTCGCGTACACGCGCGTTGTATCAAGATCTGAATGAGCCGGCTGAGATACAGGGTAAAGGCATTACACCAGCCGGGAAACGCGTCCCCGGGATTGTCTCGTTGATATGTTAATTAACGTTATTGATGTCGTCGTGGCTCGTGTTCTCTTCGAACGGCTCTCTATTAAATCCATCCGAATTTCGAACGATGGCTTGTAAGCTGCTCGAGACTTCGAATTGATTTGTGGAGCGAGACGTAAGATTGTATGAATCCATGTCGACATGCACTGTGTAAACTAGGGTACTCGATCTTGAATATAGGAATGGTACAGGGTGTCTTACAAATAGAGTAGGTCAATGAAATGGTAGCTGACGTGATTTTGAATAAGATTTCCCTTTGCGGAAATGGGGTTTGAAGCTTCGTTTTTGAGTTATTAAGGAGAAATGCGGATTAATCTGAGCGCGAGGATTACGCTTGCGCAGACGCGAGAGCGACAGCTTCGGATAACGCGTAGTTATACAACGCGTGATAATCCAACACGTAGTAATGCAACGCGTAGTAATACAACGCATAGTAATCCAGCGTGAGGATATCTAACGCGTAGTAATGCACCGCATGGTAATTCTAAGCGTAGGAATCTAACGTGTGGTAATCCAACACGTAGTAATACGACGCGTGGTAATGCAACGCGAGGTTATCCTACGCGTAGTAATCCAATGCGTAGTAATACAACGCGTGGTAATGCAACGCGTGGTTATCCTACGCGTAGTAATCCAACGCGTAGTAATATAACGCGTTGTAATCCAGCGTGTGGATACCCAACGCGTAGTAATCTGGCGCGTGCATATTCAACGCGTAGTAATTCAACGCGTAATAATGCAACGCGTAGTAATTCTAAGCGTAGAAATCTAATGCGTGGTAATCTAACACGTAGTAATCCAGCGTGTGGATATCTAACGCGTAGTAATCCAGCGCTTGGATATTCAACGCGTGTTAGTCCAACGCGTAGTAATGCAACGCGAGGTAATTCTAAGCGTAGGAATCTAATGCGTGGTAATCCAACACGTGGTAATACAACGCGTGGTAATGCAACGCGTGGTTATTCTACGCGTAGTAATCCAACGTGTGGATATCCAACGCGTAGTAATCACGCGTAGTAATCCAACGCGTAGTAATATAACGCGTTGTAATCCAGCGTGTGGATACCCAACGCGTAGTAATCTGGCGCGTGCATATTCAACGCGTAGTAATTCCACGCGTAATAATTCAACGCGTAATAATTCTAAGCGTAGAAATCTAACGCGTGGTAATCTACCACGTAGTAATCCAGCGTGTGGATATCCAACGCGTAGTAATCCAGCGCGTGCATATTCAACGCGTAGTAATTCAACGCGTAATAATGCAACGAACGCGTGATAATCCAACACGTAGTAATGCAACGCGTAGTAATACAACGCATAGTAATCCAGCGTGAGGATATCTAACGCGTAGTAATGCACCGCATGGTAATTCTAAGCGTAGGAATCTAACGTGTGGTAATCCAACGCGTAGTTAACCAACGGATAGTAATCCAACGCGTAATAATCCTCGCGTAAAATTTAGGTTATTAGAAAAACTTACGTTCAACAAAAAATTTGATCTAATCCACAAATAAAAAAATTTTAATTACTATTTTCATATATAATAATAAAGTAAATAAACGTTAAAAAGTAATAATTTTTACAAAGTACCAAAACATTTTTACCCAAATGTTTTGCAAACATCTAGAAAATTTAGTATCTTGTGAACTTACGTAATCAACCGGTCTATGTACAGATCGTGCTTGGCAGAGGCAATCATGCAAATTCAGACACAATCGATTCCCTCATTCTTTCTTTACTGTTCATTTCAATGTACCGACTAACTAACTGACGGCACGGCAGTAGAGCGGCAGGACTTCAAAAGAATTAATTTCCATAATTATCTTAATTCCGTAGAGGGCTGCAGACGCTTGCGGCTGGCATTTGCGTTTTTCTCACACTGAGGCAAGAAAAGTAATTATCGAATTGCCTTTTCTTAGTGTTATCTAATAAATCATTGCTGGGTCATCGAGACCGTAACAATCATTAGCGATAAGTGACTTTCGTTAATGAAAGTAAGTTACATGATATTCTGACAATTTTAACTTGGAATTCTTTCATGTTTATATAATTAAAAAATTTACTGCATTACCGCATATCAAGTTAGAAGTATTTAGTACTTGATAAATTTTTATAAGTTTAAATTTTATACCAAAATTCAGTAGAAAAGGTTAAATATTTTCTGACTTTTCTGTCTAATTTTGCTATCAACGAGATTCACTACAGCGATTGCGACACAGTTCCGTAAATAAACGTCGAAGGAAGCGAAATAGCCGGCTCGAACATTGCCAAAACTAATTAAGCTAGCAGGATTAGAAAGGATGCTTTTACCCTGCAAGAACTAATGGTTGGTTACCTAAGTGTATCGTCTTTTTGTTGCAGGTGCGAGGGCGGTTGGCTTCAACTCGAAGGCGGTGCTCGAGTTTGCGGTCGCAACGAACGTTTTGATCGACCGGTCGTGCTATTTTCCGACAAACCGATGCCAATTCTCCACATGCAGTGAGTAACACACTGACATTCTATCGAGATCTTTTCCGCTCGAATTTAATACTGATACGACAAAAAAAAGCGAGTTAAATATCGAGCTCGAAATAAATTATGAAGCCGACGCGATACGTCGAAGACTACCGCGGATTTCATATCGTATTCACGGGGGATTCGTTTTTAATTAAGCCCTTTTTTTTTGCTTTGGTATCGAGAACAAGTGGTGCTTCGTTGATTATATAAAAGCCACCGACGGCCGATAATTTATAGAATCCACGAGATTTTATTCGGTGGGTATTAAATAGTTGATTTTAATTAAGAAAGGTGCTTCATTTATAATTTTATATTGTTATATTTGTCAAAGGCTTTCAGATATTTCGTAATTTGAAATAAATTGTGATACCTCGATTTGTAGGTTAGGTAATTTATTTTACAGTGGATGATTAGGTAATTTATTTTACAGTAGAAGATTGGGTGATTTAATTTTCAGTTGAAGATTAGGTAACTGAGGATCAGGTGATTTAATTTGTAATAGAAGATTAATTTCTAGCAAAAGATTAAGTAATTCATTTCAACATCTTCGTCAATAACCTCAACAAAATTACCAAAATCTACACAAAAATGAAACATTAAATATCTCCATATTAACCAAAATACTCAAACTATTCTCAAGCGAGAGAAAATGAAACTCAACTCCGACCTCTCGTTAGTACTTCGCAACACATGAAATTGTCCCTAAATTCTCCAACCCCAGAAAACAGCAACAGAAAAGCGATTGCGAGGACAGAGAATCACGAACGGTCCGTAAGGAAACGAGAATCACGAGGGTCGATGTAGCGTCGCGGACAAAAGGATGCGTAGTGAAAACGCTGATGTTTTATTTATACGACGTTCGCCGAACGCGTATATACATCGCAAGACGGCGATTCTGTCATAAATATTTAATAAGGTCCCTGCAACTAAACGTATTCGATGTAAGTTCAGACATTGGCTTCTGTTTTCTTCGCGAACACCAATTAAGGGAAACAAATGAATGCGTTTGATTCTTCAACTACCTAATACCCTCGCGTTTCTCTGGCGACAATCAATTATTCAAATCTTAGAACGTTCTTCTGGAAGTCGTAGTAATTCTTGAAGTTACTCGAACAAACACTCGGAGGGAATTGGAGATGCTGATTCTTGCTGACTTATGAAAAGAGATTGTTAAGAAATGTATTTTGGAAAATGTAGGTTTCATTCATTTAGAGAGTGTGTTAGGTTATGTTTGAAAAATATGTGTTAGGTTATGTTTGAAGAATATGTAGTAGGTTATGTTTGGAGAATATGTGTTAGTTTATGTTTGAAGAACATGTGGTAGGTTATGTTTGAAGAACATGTGGTAGGTTATGTTTGAATAACATATGTTAGGTTGTGTTTGAAGAACATGTGTTAGGTTATATTTGGAGAATATGTAGTAGGTTATGTTTGAAGAATATGTGTTAGGTTATGTTTGAAGAATATGTGTTAGGTTATGTTTGAAGAACATATGTTAGGTTATGTTTGAATATTATTATTTTAAACTTGAAGAATATCTATCAAGTTAGATTTGAACAATATACATCAGGTTTCTATTACATTAAATATGAAGAATATATATTTTTGTACAATAAAAACAGTCACATTTTTAACAATACTGTATCTGAACAATATTAGATACACATTTACAGTCATATTACTCATGTACATACGTCGATGCAGATAATTACTGATGTCTAAAAAAAACATACTCAATCATATAAAACTTGACTCAATCAGGTGTTGCTATGAGAACAATCTTAAATAGTAGCTATTAATTGATAGATTATTTTATCTATCTTCAACTGTGGATTTAAACGTAGCGCAACTTCGCTTGCACTAAAGTGCACAAAATGGCTGCCGCTTGTCAAGAGTACACTTCACTAATTCATTCTTCTCTTATCAATTAAATAATACAGACATACCAACATTTTTATAGACATCTTAAATAATATTTTTGATATCGAAAATCATTTCAAAGATTTCCGTAAATCAAACACAATTTCCCAAACAACGTATAATTTTCCAGGCGTGCTTCGCAATTAGGAAGCCATAAAAACCGTTTCCAAAAAAGTATTAATCTTAAGGGTATGCAATTAACGACGATCGAGGAAGATGATTAACAGCGGCATCCCCTTAACGAAAAGTAATCGTGGTCGAGAAGCAGACCGTTTCGTTTCTCGTTCGCGAGAAGGTAAATTAATTTGCATTTAAATGAGGCCACGCAAAAACGTTGGATAACGTCGCGCGAAACGGTAGACAAAGGGAAAAGTGTCAATTAATTATGGTGGAGGGAGAATCAGCTTCCAGCGAATTTCTGGAGTACCTTCCACGGTACTCATTATCTTAATTCCTTTCGCATGAAGAGTTGGCAACTTTCGTAGCCGATACAAACGGCACGAAAGTTGTCAGATTTTTCGACGGAGCAAGCCGTGTTTTATTTCGTATCGAGGGGAAGAAAGAGGGGCCGGTATTTAAAAAGTGCAGCTCGATACGAAAAGCGAACGCTTTTCGTTGTTCGTTCGACTGGAATGAAACGGTGGCGGATTGTAGTAGTAAGAAGCACTTAGCCAGGTACGTGTTCCTGTTTCGTAATGGAGCCGGTATTCTGTCTCTCTCCTTCGCTCTGTGTACCGCTGTTTGTCTCTATCGTCGCGTCCACGGTAATTTGCAAAACGTCGTTAAATCGATTTCGCAAACCTGCGATTCATTCCGATTCCGCTCTCACGAACTCTCGCAATCGTGTAGTGATTTCAAGAATTCCTTTCTGTTTCAAAAACGTATTTTTCTGCGGAACCTTTTCATCTGCAAAGTTTTTTGTTACTATTTCAAGTTTTTAAGTGGATCATTTCTCGCTTTTTTTATGAGCAATGTTTGTTATTAGCACATTATTAGTTCAGGCTGTAAATTAATATACCAGTACTACAAAGAAATATTAGACTTTCGATCCTCAAAATCTGTGACAATTTTATCAAGATTAGTAAAGATCGATTTTTTATCATCAAACCTTTTGATATGTTGTGTTTATGAATATATGCTGATTTTAGTGAATTAATGAGAAAATTAGAAACGGTTCGTGACAATAAATAGAACTAATCGAAGCTAATGATCGACGTTTGCAATTTCGAACCATCACGAGTCTCACGATCTGCACCATTCATTTCGATCTTCGATTCGTGATGACCGCGCGTAATCAAAGCGTTACAGTCCGATCGACGATTCTAATCGCAGTGATTGGCAATTTTACGGACAGACTAACAATTCCAGGGTTGACTTCGATGGTTCTCGAAATAAATAAATCGACTTGATTGCGCGTGTAATCGGCCTCGGTGTTGCGGTCACGCGGCATTTATGCGACCGATGCGGGACAGTTCATCAATTTCATAAATTGTTGCGTGATCAACCGGCGGATCTGCGATAATTAAGCTCGTCGTTGATGGACTTTGCTGCCATTGATCGTGTTGCGGTGATGCTGATTGGAAAGTTGGGAAAGGTGTGCTATAAATCACTCGTGACGGTGCAAAAACGATATTACGATCTTATTCGATGTTCTATTCATTTAGATTCTGAGGAGTGTGAGATAAAATGCGAATATTATAGATATTGCAATAAGTGATATTAGAAAAGTAAATTCATTTAGAAATTGGTTATTGAATGATTTAATTGAGTTTCATTAATTATTGAATTATTGGGTTAAAATTTTTGTCAAGTCTAAAAGGAGTTTTAAATGAAATGTACACATTAACAAATATTTCAAGTATTTATTATTACACTTCTACAAAAAATAAAATTTGCCTATGTCACACTTCTGCACTCATGTCACTCTTTTTTCATATACACTTACCGAACAAATACGACATCTTATGAATCTAATTTTCGTCTGGTCAGCCATAATCTACTGAAAGAATAATGTCTGACTTATTTTACTGAACCTTACTGCATTTATCGCGTTACAGCTGATCGACTTCTTCTACGTGTCACCGCCATTTCACCTAAAACGTCAGTTGACGCGAATCTCATAGTCCGGAATTCTACGAGGGAATTTTGTAAGAAAAGGGAAAAAGGAGGGTAGAAGTTTTTGACCTGAAAATGTCTGGCATGTTATTGCCAGCTATCTTCACGCGACTGATTCGGCAAAGAACTTGGCTGGGTCGGCTGTTGAAGTTTATACAAGTTGAGAAGTTGAGTGTAATGTAGCAAACTGGTGGTAACACGCGACTGGCATAAATGTGTCATACTAAAACGCCTTTGGTACGAGGCAAATGGGGTATTTGACCCCTGTTCACGTTTCAATTTGCTGGATTTTATCAAAAACCTTCTTTGTTTTATCTGTGATCAGAAGTGTCATAGTTGGGAATTGTAGTCTGAATTAATTTAACGTGAACTTATAATATAACTGTGGTGTTTTTTTAGTTTGGTAATTCATATTTGATTTAGGGTAGCTTATTTATTGGTGTTGCTTTGTAAATGATTTATAAGTAGGCACTGATTTTTAGCAATAAGTTCTTTCAAGAGTAATAGGGTGTCTGGGCTCTCAAGTATAAAATTAGTGACTGCTGTGAAATTATGATATTATAATATAAATTGTGGTGTTATATGATGTATACACAATAATATTCTTTTCATACAAAATAACGATCATCAACAATAACCATCATTTCATATAAAATAATGATATTCAAATGTTGACACTAAAGTACAGGACATTTACATCCATAGCATCGTACCAAATTATTATAACAAGACAACGATAAGTACAACTCTATGAGAATACAATACGGCAATATAACGAGACTGCAACAATATAGAACTATAATTATGACCAACTATATAATTAGAACTAACTATAACCAATGATACAGCCATGACAATAATCAAAGATCACAATTGAAATAAATATCTAAGAAGTGTGAAGAAGTTGTCGAAGTATTTGGAGGTTAGAAATTAAAGAGCAATGCAAC